TTGTAGCGATTTGTGCTAGCGGGCGGCTCAGCCAACCTTATGCGGTAACTCTCACAAGCGAAATCCGGAGCACATTTCAGGAGAGACGTTCCATCATCTCTCGAATCGTCGCCCAACCTAACTTTCAGCTCGACAAATGAATTACGGATTGGTAGGAGTGAATGGTTGAGAGCCGACGAAGCAGAGGGTCAGTCTATGTGCAGGAGAGAGAGACTTGCCATTCACCTTGACCTTGACGGAAATCCATTGTGTGGTACCTACAGTCGCTCGATCCCGCTCGACAAAAAAATTCAGACTAGGTTATGTCAGGGACATCACCGCTGTAAGAGCCAAAACGTCTTCAGGTAATCGGTCTTCAGCAGTTTTTCCTTCTAAGTCGGTCAAAAACGTGTCTAGCCGCGACTGATTCGCTTCCAACGAAGACACGCTTGAAGCTCATAGTAGCACGCTCTCATGTGAGCCCGTAAGAAACATCCCAGGCGTAACACTTGCTGTCCCTGAGAAATCCTTGTCCAGACACTCGGCTTGGTTGTTCCCTTCACCCAATGTTGGTCGGGATGATGATCTAGGTCGCTCAATACGGGATTTCACGGAACTTGCCGAATCTATTGCGCGTTGATTCCGGCGTCGGAGACTTGCTTGTTTTGGGCGCATCCCGCATCCTCAGGCATACTTCATTATCCAATCGACTAAATATTTCCACCATGAAGTAGCTTCGGAATCGATGAGTTTCAATGGAATATTTAGAAAAGCTCGACTCAATAATCGAGGAAAATAGCTCCATCTTACCCCTTTTCTCTCAATCTACCTTCGTACATAAATTTCTCCTTATAAGATGCTATAGCAAGGCTAGAATTTACCATTATTTATCAGATTCCAGGCTAAATCTAGAGGTATGTAGAGAAACCAAAATCATAAGGCAACCATGCAGCACTTCGCAGTAGGGTCTCGCTCAGAGTGGAATCCCGGAAATTATCTTTCCGATCCAGGAATCAGGTTTCCGACGTAAATGAGGATCGAGATATGAAGCCGCAAAGTGCGACAAGTTTTTGCTATTCGAATGACGAAGTACATCGAGCAGGAGGTCACCCAAGCCTGGGTAAAGACGTTTCCACGTCAAAACCGGCGGCTCCGTACCTGGACTGGGATTCATATCCGCTGCGATGGGGGAGCCGAAACTCGAGAGCACCCGAAGATCCGTAGAGAATCGAAAGAAAACTTGAATACTTTCAACGAGCAAAAAGGTAATGGCAGCGGTGGGATTCGAACCCACGCCCCCGAAGAGACTGGTGCCTTAAACCAGCGCCTTAGACCGCTCGGCCACGCTACCGTATTCGTCGGCGGGCAGGCGGGGACATTTAGCGATCCCAGCGCCACTCTCACGTCGAGTGTTCTGTTCTGCACCGATGTCGGTGAGCCGTTGAAAACCCGAGAAATCGGCCTTGTCTCCGGCGCACCGGTTCGAGGGAGTCATTAGTTATCGATCGGCAAGACAGTCGAGGAGTAAGAGATGAGAGAATGACGGAGTACGAAAAAAAATGGAGATGCGGGGTATCGATCCCCGTACCTCTCGCATGCTAAGCGAGCGCTCTACCATCTGAGCTACATCCCCGGCTATTGCCATCGGCAGTCCAGACGACTGTGTATGATGTCGACCGCAAAAGTGACCAGATCTTGTCGCCGCATCCTCAATAACATGAGCGAGAAGGAACATGTCATCGGAGCGACTCCTCCGTTCATCCAAGGTTTGATGTATTCTGCGACCCAGGCTACCCGTACAAGATACCCATACGATCTCGGTTCCAAAAAAAGTCTGCGGCACATCGGATAAAGTTCGTAGAGCGTCGTTCCTCTGTCGTTCTACACCGCTCTGAGAGAAGTTGCCATGAAACATATGATCTTCCGAGTTCAGAATGGAGAAACTCGGATGCGATAATGGGGAGATGAATCACGAAAATATTTTAAAAAGTATCCGTCGAGCCGGATTTGAACCAGCGACCTAAGGATCACTGCCAGAGCACTACAGTCCTCCGCTCTACCAACTGAGCTATCGACGGCGATACGCATTCCGCCGCGAAGAAGGACACCAATGAGACCGACTATGCGAGGCGGACGTCATACAGCCCACTCAAAGCTGTTCAATAGACACTATTGTTGTCGTCGGTCGACGGCAACTTCCAGAAGTTGGAAACTCCAAGAATGGGAGATCAGCTAATATCGAATTCGGATTCCTACCACTATGGAGGAATCCGTCCCCCGGATCACTGTGCTGACATCACCACCATTTTCCAGACAAATCCGAACCTCATTCGACGCCTCAGAGCCCATGGATGAGGATGTTGCCATGGAGAGACAGCGCGTGCTCGGAGGCTGCGCTCAGGACTGCATACTGCGGGTGGAAAATCTGACAAAAGTTTACAGGTAAAGCATTCCTGCTCTTGAGCTCTGCCATGATCACCGATCTATAATAGGAGAGGAGCGTTTTGTATACGAGTCGATACATCCGATGATCAACGTCCCCGTTCTCTCACAGAGTTGGCCAGCACGCCGCTGTGAACCATTTATGCGTCGGAGTGAACCCCGGCGAATGTTTCGGACTCCTCGGAGTGAATGGAGCCGGGAAAACCACAACTTTCAAAATGCTCACGGGAAACACGACGGTTACGGGAGGCAACGCTTTCATATGCAACTACAGGTAAGAAAAAATTGGTGCTCTGTACTGCTCTTGCTCCCGACACATGTATGTAGAGACATCGTCAAATGAAACAAACTGCCATTCTCCCCGGCAGTGTCAAAACCGAGATCGACCGGGCCCGTCAGCGGGTGGGTTATTGTCCACAGTTCGATGCCATTGATCCTTTGCTGACGGGCTATGAACATCTGGAATTCTATGCTCGACTACGGGGCGTCCCCGAAAAACATGTCGCCAGGGTGAGTTCGTGCGCCGCTTGAAGTCTGGCTTCGTCGCTGAAGGCCACCCGAGCTGGATTGGGGTGCTACAGGGATACTGCGCCATCTCGCAGTTTCGCTCGAGTGAAATCTATAAGCTGAGGACGTCCCTGACACTAAAAAGTTCTTCGGAAAATTCCACAGGTGGCAGATTGGGGTATTCGCAAGCTGGGCTTGCGGATGTTTGCCCACCGGTGTGCCGGAACTTATTCCGGGGGAAATAAGAGGAAGCTAAACACTGCCATTGCCCTGGTAGGCAATCCTCCCTTAGTCTTTCTGGTGAGTTTAGGTTTTGAGCTGAAGCTCGAAACACGTCTCTCAGGGGATCTGAATCACATTCGTAAGTCAGAGAATTGCTCAATCTTCCAAGCTTCGCGTCTCACTCTCTGGACTTTCGCGTTTCTTCTTCGACCGGTCCGAATTCAACGGGTAATTACGCCTCTATCCACAGGACGAGCCGACAACGGGTATGGATCCGAAGAGCCGTCGCTTTTTGTGGGATTGCATAATCGACATTGTTCGAGAGGGTGGTCGCTCCGTAATTCTGACTTCTCATTCGATGGAGGAGTGCGAGGCCCTCTGCACGCGACTCGCTATCATGGTCAACGGTCAATTCCGTTGCCTAGGAAGTATTCAACACCTTAAAAACAAATACGGGGCCGGCTACACCGTCACACTCAAGGTTAGCAAGACCTCAATTCTCGGTGCGGGGATCATCTGAGGATGTGGGCACGTCGATGGTGATTAGATCGAACGTATGTAACCGCATGATTCTCGCCGACGATGACAAGGGCACTGACGTCGGATGCTCTCGCTCCGCTAGCTGGGGCAAAATAACGCCCAACGTGGGGCTCGAACCCACGACCCTGAGATTAAGAGTCTCATGCTCTACCGACTGAGCTAGCCGGGCCTTGCAATCAGGGGCGGGTACGGAGAAAGAGCCGGTGCTTGCTTGCTCAGCGGGCTCGCTCGCGCTTATCTCAAAAACCGGTTCCGATCCATTCCACAGATTTGCGCCGCCGTGGATACAGTAATCGCCTACGTGGACCAGGTATTCACCGGCAAGGCTCTCCTTAAGGAGCACCACCTCAACCAGATGCAGTACCAAATAGATCCAAGTGTTCCCTTGTCGGACATATTCCGTAATCTTGAAAATGCTCGCGCCGAAGACTCGAATCTCCTAGAAGATTACAGCGTTACGCAGACAACTCTGGATCAAGTTTTTATAAGTTTTGCCAAGCAGCAAGGAGATGTATCTGCGCCAGAACTTCCGAAACAGAGTCATCAACACAGTTTCTCCGGGAAGTCGACCAACGGCAAGGGTACGGATGGTTTCTCCTCTAGGCAGACTGCTCCATGAATGAGCAACGTTACTCTTTTCGGAAAATTTCCATGACGGTCATCAGCTGAATGATTTTGTACTGTTTTCCAGGTTTGCGGCGTATGAACTCGAAGAAGGCACAAAGCGATATCGAACTACGTGTTATAGACGGCGACGAAGGGGAGGTCGCGAGAGTTTGAAGTCGAACCCTGATTTTATCTTTCCAATAGGCGAAACAATCATAGAACTTTTATACTTTCTGAGATTTATGATCCACTAACACTGGGAGATCCGGTGATCTGAAAGGCAATGGAGAGGAACTGAGCATTGATCCTCGACGGGACCAGTTCCAGTGTCCTATACAACCCCACAGCCACGATTCCAAAAAGCTTAGTTAGCTTCTCGATCAGACGTGAGCGCACTCATGCTTCCTAGTAGAAAGCAATTTTTCGTTCACCGAAGACACAAACATAGGCTGGAAACTTCTCTAAACTCATCCGTTATGAAACACGGGAAGGCATTATTCCATGCTCTGAGGTGAAGGAGACCGCGAACAAATTTTCGTGGCTAATCGAATTGATAAGTGACCGTTTACTCCAACCCAGGCTCTTTCTTCTCAACACCCTGTCATTAACAGAGTGGTTCGCGGATTCCGTTGGCCTGGAAGACACATATACGGAAACGAATTCGAAATTACTCCTCTTCCCTATGAGTACTTGTGATAGTAGATAGCTTCAAGGTCGGCGGAGTCGGGAGGCAAAGAAGTTGCCCCATTTATATAGCGCAGAGGACTTCAGAGAGTACACGTTTAGGACTCAACTTCATTTGACCAAAGAGCGTTTGAGACTCCACATACGAGGGAAGGTAACAAACTGGAAAATGTTCTATACTAATCCGTAATGATGATCCAGATCGAATCAGTGGATCAATCCGATGTTTTCAACTTATTGTTCAAGTGAGGGCTTGGCCAACGCGTCCGGCTAATGCGCAAGAATCGGCGATGCCCGAATCGTAGAGAGATCGAACGCAAATCACATGTTTCGCTGGCTCTCCTCACACTCCGAAGAGACCACAGAGATGATGACCGCAGGGACGATAGTTGTGGTTTCTACTACGATTATTGACGAAGTATTGAGGGCAATAAACTATTTTTACAGCATGTGACTCGTCTCTTATTTATACTGAAGCGTCAACGACACCTGAGATTTTCCGAGATGACTCATCAGCACTGATGAGTTCAGATGTCCCGTATTTCGATTGAACTCCCGAGACGACGGAATCAGAATCCTGGCTCGCCTTTCAGCCGGTAGATCACGAGTCGAAAAACTCCAGAGCAGAATATTCCGTCGTCCGGTCTCGATGCCGCGCTCGGGAGGGGGGGGGGATGCGGATTCTCGCTCCGGAAGAGGTAAAAACTGGTGTCCCCTCATCGGATTACGGCAGGAAGTAAAATAGAGTGTCCGGTCCAACCATTGAGCTAGGCCCTCCGAGAGCGTCTATTCACGAGTGCTATCCCACTACTGCAGAGCGCGGGGACTTTTGCCTGCTGTGTTTCCACCCTGAGCCGTTTCGCCCCTCGTCAGCCGACCTGGGCGTCCCGGGTTCCCCCGAAACGACCATGTGGACGCCGAGCTTAGTGCGGACACCCGATCAACATAGACAACCAACGGAGGGAGCCCCCAGCCTATGGACATCCCTGACACCAGCCTCCCAGACGCAGGACTACAGGAACATGCCACCGCTCCCGGCATGCATCGAGGGAGGATCGGGGGTAATGATTCCGCAGCTGAATTTTTGTGGTGGCGTGCATGCAATCCCTGCGAAATTCGAGGTTCGGAGAGCAAGTCCGCGAATATGACTTAATAGCTGCTATCAATATACATGAAGAAACTCGCGGCGAGCTCTTCCACCCGCAAAGTCGAGGTCAGACACGCTCTTCATACAGCGCGCGGTGCTGGGTTGCGGCGAGACAATAGGGTGAGAGTGGTGTTCGTGTCTCGGATGGTTTCTACGAGGATACCGTAACCATGACAACTGCTTATAGAGAGAGAGTCGAGGGAAGTGAACAGATTGGAGGGTCTCGATGGGGATAAGACGTTCTTAAGGGCGGGATAAATTCGTCCCAGATGGGATTCATCACGGATTCTGGGGAAAATCTCAGAACTCCGATGAAAACAAGGGACACTCATCGCCGGCCGAAGTCCGGCTCGCAACGGGGAAATCCCCGTCTCCGGTGCTTGAACGGATACCGAGACGGATGTCGAACTCGGGATTCTCGAACAATTATTTTCCGCGTATGAATTGGTACGTCAGGGTCGACGAGATTATTCCCTTCTGGCGCTCGGAGATTGTATTTGGGTTGCTCGACTTTCTCGACCCCCACCCGGCGAGTGGCTCGGCGAAACCCCGAAACGAATCTACGAAGAACTGTAAGCTCTCTTATGCCTCAATGCTCTCGTCGTTGTTGGGCTCAGGAGCGGGAGCGAGGGAGCATCGGGATTCCAAGCTTTTCCCATAGCACCACTGGTCAGATGATACTGTCTGATATCGAATCGATCAGGGAAGATTTTCATGGCCATCGATCATGAACTTATGTCTCGGCCCAGGCACTCAGCACGGACTCTGACAGGCAGATCAGAAAAAATTTCATCAAAGAAACTACAATCGCGATTTGTATTCATATGGCTTACGGATCAGGGCTGACACCGGAACTCTCCTGATGTCTCCCTCTACGCGAACGAAATGACTCGGAAATAAATCGAAGCTCGTAGAGTGCTTCCGGAGATGTTCGGTTTGGTTGGAGATCCGTATCGACACCCTCCGATTCCGCTCGCTATGCTTTTCGGATTATGGGTCTCTCAGAACCTCGACCGATCGATTGAAAAAGGCCATCCGAGGGGACAGCATAAGGAAATCCATTACCGTTGCCACTCTCTGAGCCATTCCCCACCGTAGGTGCCTGAACGCGAGAAACCGGGAACATGAAATTCACCATCGAATGGAGAGCGTCCCCGAAGAATACAGGCGGTTTTCCGCCCTCATATCGGATGGTGCGACCGACAATCGGAATCTCGATCTCAGAGCTCGATCTCGCCATTCGAAGACACCTGAGCTCTGAACGCTAAGTCAAAGGAAAAAATTCGGAGAATCGCTTTCGTCCGGCGCTATTGTGGCCGTATTTGCCAAGCATGTCGATACCATGGTGTTTTCGATCAGAGCTACATACGCTCGTCTCCACCATAGAGTTCGTATGCGGCGAGGAGATTGTAAACCAAAGCTCGAAAGTGTGAAATGCAGAGAATGCCGTGTGTTGCGGTAGGCGATGGTGTACAGATGTCGGCATCGGGCCATTGAGGTTTCTTCGTCCGATGCTCGGGTCGGGTTCAGAAGTCCAGCTCCGGATGTTTGTATGCAGCCAGAATTCTGAGAAGAACGAACAGCCAAAACAAAGAATGGACAATAAAACGAGAAAGAAGCGAATCTCAATCGACGACCTAAGGGATGAGAGGATTCGACATGCGATTCAATTCGATCTGCTAGTGCCGATGACAGCGGCACGCATGCATGTCTTGGGCTTCGAATGAGATCCGCTCCGTTATACTGCTGTGCCTGAGTCTCCCGCCGAACAGCCTTCGATCCGATCAGTATTCATAAAAAGGAACGGAGAAAAGAGACATGAGACCTTCCCAAGGTTGGAAGTCGCTGGCCAGAAAAATCAGATGCGACTCCGATGAAAATGGACATTGGAACTCGAAACTCGGAAGATCTCTTTTGAGACAGCGACTTGTTCTCAAGCGAAGGAACTTCCGTGTCGACAAATCATTCGTCCATCACTGATGTTGCGGCCACCTTCCCCCAATCTCATTTCGGTTTACGATCTTCGCTATCGCCCCGTCATCGTTCATTGTTAGGTGCCCAACACGACGATGAGTTTTGTATTTGACGACTTTTTGGGAAAACCTAATGTTTCTCGGAACTATTGTCTCGAGTAACTAGATGCTGCTCGAGCGATTTCCCGGTCTCGCGAAATCGTTCCGAGCTGTAATTTTCCCGAGAGTTTTCCGAATGATTTAGAGAGGAACGAATTACGATACTGCAGGTAACAAAGAAACCCAGTGTGAGCTCCCGACATCCAGGTCAACCGAGGCAACGTCTAGCCCATCCGCCAGACACAAGGCTCTTGTTGGCGAGCTTCGTATCCGGAATACGGTGAACTTCGAGCACTTTCAAGAGAAGGAGAGTGGTTTTTGAGTCGCGGCGGGAGCTGGTCGACTTGAATCTCGCACGCCTCACCAGACTTAAGCAAGGCTCGGCGAGGAAATACGAGTCCTCGCATACGTGTCTCGATGGATGGATAGATGGAGGGCGGGACTCGCGGAGCCTAATTGGATCTGCTCTTTAGAAACGTCACACTCTTCGTAAGGACAGGATGCGGCAGACTGTGGTGACCGGAGCCGATCGTTCCATGGACCGAGTTCCTTCGCTTGCAGTCGTCTGCATCTAAGCTTGGAAACTCAGACCGGAAGTCTGGCTATTTAGATTTCCGAAGATTCCATGTATAGAGATCCAACCGCAGTCAACCCCTCGACTGGGCAGGAATAGTTGTTCTTGTGGCTGGCGTGCTTCGAAGCCCGTTCAAGCGAGACATTCAGCTCCTGAAATCTAAAATAGACCAGTCTAGACGCCGTTGTAGACAAGGGCATCGCTGTCCGAACTCGCCAGTCTCGAAACTTTTCAGCATGAACACGAGCTTGTTCGGGGACGGTAAGCGCTCAGCTAACATAGCTCGACGAATTTGAAGAATTTCCGCAGATTGTTTCGACGGACTTTTCTAAGAACACCATGGAGTCCTGTACACCATGGAGGCTCATGTAAATGCTCTTCGAATGCAGTGTGATCTACATCCAGAGAATTTTGCTCAAAATGTTCGCAAACAGCAGTCCGACGATGTCCAAGCCGACGGTTTTCAGAACAATCGATTCTGAATCGTTTGCTCAACCGCTACACCATGGAAAGTACTCGACTGATTCAGATTCTGACGGTATGGGACTTACCCAACGAGGAATCGAGATCGACCTTTACGCGGGTCCAGAGTAAATCGGTTACGCGGGAACGCCATCGATGAATTCCCGTCCAGACCGCGCGGGCATACCATTTACCTAGATATCGGCAAATCATTGGGATGACCTTTGCCTTAGCAGATAACATGATTCTGAGTAGTTCCATGGGACCTTAGGTCTTGAGCAGTTTTCTTCGATTGCCTTGATTCCATGATCAGCGCATTCGGGATAATTTGAAGAATTCGAACGGACGTCAGAGGAATTGAAAGTACCTAGGTAGTCCCCCTTAGAGAATGGCTCGAAATTCCTATTAGTTTCTGCTAGCGTATCCGTTTGAGCGATGAGTATACGAGAACATAGTCACTGGGTTTGGAATCTCGTTCAGAATAACAGAGCATCAGGAGAATAAATGATTCACGGTCTCTGAGCGTCGATGC